ACCATTCAGTAATAAAAAGAGCAAATTTCTGATACACCCAAATGTTAAATGAGTCTCAAACGCATTACGGTAAGTAAAAGAAGCCAGACACAATGGCATGAGGCAATGTGATGCCATTTAAATGCATTGCAAAACTCAACTACTGGAGAGCTGAGAAAACTGACTCGTTTTTTCCAAGAGCCGGGAAGGGTGAGGAGACCTGACTGCACAGGACAGCCCTCTGGGCTCAGGGAGCACAGGTGTGAGGCAGCGTTTTTTTGTCGTAACCGCAGTGACTGTGTACATTTGCCAAAAAGCATACTGCACTTTTAAAATTAACGCATTACATTATACGGAATCATCTCTCATTTTTCAAAGTGCTTTTTACTAATTACTAATATATATCACCTAATTTAACTCTAAAAATCCCTATAAACAAGAATCAAGGCTCAAGAGCCCCATGACGCACTCAGAGTCTCACAGCTGGTACGTGCAGGGCGGGCACACTCACCCTCTCGCCAACACATACCCACATGGGCTGAGCAGATGCTCACAGAGAGCTCGGGACCTCCTCCGGCTGCGGTACCGGACGTGTCCGTTTTGCTAGTCGTAACTGTAGACTATTTGGTGTCATGAATCAATCTAGTGGACTGGACCTTTCTTTTTTTCATGGGATATATAGGAGTAAAAGGAGTAGAGAGGAAGGGAAAGAAAAAGATCAGAGTTCATGAGGCTTTTTTGTTGTTGTTCCTTCGCTAAGTCGTGCCCGACTCTTTGTGACCCCATGGACTGCAGCACGCTAGCCTTCCCTGTCCTTCACCATCTCCTGGAGTTTGCTCAAACTCATGTCTACTGAGCCAGTGATGCTATCTAACCATCTCACCCTCTGCTGTCCCCTTCTCCTCCTGCCTTCAGTCTTTCCCAGCATCAGGGTCTTTTACAGAGTCGGCTCTTCTCATCAGGTGGCCAAAGTGTATATTGTTGGAATTGACTTGCTAAAAACTTTTAAACATTTTTTGTATCAATGTTCATGAGATATNTGGGGTTGATTTCCTTTACGATGGACTGGTTTGATCTGGTTTGACCATTATGCTTAGAAACATTAAATATAGGTTCTTAAAAACTTTTGTTTCAACAGAGAGAATCTGTGTATGTGTGCTGGGCTACAAACTAAAGTGTATTTCTTACTGTGGATCCTAGTCAAAAAAGCTTGAAAACCATTGCTGCAGGCCACACAAGGGATTACAATAGTAATGCTGGCTATAGCAAGATAAAAAGAGAGAGGAAGATCAGCAGGAGGACTGCACTTTAGACAAATGGTTCTGAAGGACAAGGGAGAAAAAAGCAGGTCAAAAATAACCCCTACCCCACAAAAACACCCAGGGGACACTTTGAAGGAAAACTTAGCATGGTGACATGCACATTCAATTTCATCCAGCTTACCTTTCACACTTGGCCCCTCACTGTCCTCCTCCCAACCTTTTTGTCTCTACAAGGAAACCTTTCTTTTCAACCCAGGTATAAACAAAAGAGTGTTGTAAGCTAAATTACTTTTTTCACCTTTATATTACCCTAGCACCTTGAACAGCATTTTATACACAGTAGACGCCCAGATATTCATAGAACGAACGCTGTTTAAAGTATATTAATTCTGCCTATGGACCTCAAGGCTACAGTAATACTCCATTCTCTTAATCCAACAGTGTCCTATGAAATTTAATTCTGACAGTAATTTAAGAAATAACCTTGAAATGTGAAGTACTTTTGCAAGCCTTTAACAAAAAGCAACCTAAGATGAGTTTCTAACATTAGTGTTTCCCAGCATGTCTCGATTAATGTTTTTAAAATATTGTTATTCAAACACATGACTACAGCAGACATCATTTCTATATGCCTTCTCCAAAGTTCTGCCCCAAAAAAGTCTATTCACGTCAGGAAGTTCTATATTAAAGGCATACATGCAACATATGTTACAGTGGTGGGAAAGTTTAATTAGAAAACACATTGCTAGCAGACATCAAACATCAGTGGCAAATGCTTCCATACGCTGCAACTCATCAGAAATAGCTTAAAGAGCCCTCAAAGTATCCAGCTATCCTTTCTCTCCTCAAATCTCTGCATGATCTGTGACACACACACACACACACTCTAAGACTCAACTGCAAATGAATCGGTCACGCCACCCCCGTCCACACAGGGAAGTATCTCTTACAGCACGTAGATAGAGACAGAACTGAATGCAGCAGCTCAACATACTTTAGCTTAAATGAGACTCACCAAAACCCTCTGAGGAAAGCGGAAAAGGTACAGAATTAGTCCTGCTTTATGTGTAAGTGAACCATCTAAGTGACCTGCCATGGTCACAGAGTGAAGAAGTGGTGAAGTTCTGTCTTCCAACGAGGGACTCCTGATTCCACGTCCACTGCTCTTTCCATAGGGCAGCAGTCAGCAGTGGCCGAGAAGGGGCTGACTCGGGGTCTCCTGCTTAAGACAGCCATGCTTCTTCTCTGGCCTCCACAACCCTGGGCCAGCGGCCTAGACGAGCCTGCCTGCTCGAGCCTCCCCTGGGAGAGAAGGGGAACAGGGAACCATCTAAGGAGAAAGCAGGCAACAGTCAGTGACCCAGGCAGGTGGTCAGAAAGGCAGGGAGCAGGTCCTTGTCAAAGCTGCTCCACCCTGTGGAGAGCCAAGATCCATCTCTGGAAAGCCTGCCAGGCCCAAGCCAGGACCAGATGCAAGACAAACACAATACCAGGCAGGTTAGCAAAACCAAGACTCACTCTTTCATTTGTTCAACAAACTGATGAAAATGNGGGAGCAGGTCCTTGTCAAAGCTGCTCCACCCTGTGGAGAGCCAAGATCCATCTCTGGAAAGCCTGCCAGGCCCAAGCCAGGACCAGATGCAAGACAAACACAATACCAGGCAGGTTAGCAAAACCAAGACTCACTCTTTCATTTGTTCAACAAACTGATGAAAATGCTTAACATGTGCCAGACAACTTGTCTGGAAGTATTAATAATAACATACTGTCTCAGTCTTCAAAAGATTTAAACTAGTGAGAAAGACGGATCATAAATCATATACTGCTTTGACAAAAATATGCACAGAGTACGGTAGAGCCCAAAAGTTCTGACCTTACAAAGCCAAGGGACAAGGAGAGGAGAAAGGTGAGGAAAAGAGGCAGGAGGGAGAAAGTCTTCCCTGAGGAGGAGCCCATTAACTAACAGAAAATCAAAGCACACTGGCTTCCAGCGCAGTAGGCTGAAGCCACTCTATAGCATGACCCTGATTCTAGATCGTGGGGTAGAGACTGAGGTTTGGCAAAGCGAAAAGACAGAGTAACAAAACAAAGGTAAGGGCGGGATCTGAATGAAAAGAGGGAAAAACCAGAGAGTGTCCATAAAATGTGAACAAGCCTCAAGCATATCATCACAGAATGCATTCAGCAACAGAAGGAAGCAATGACACATGCCACAACATGGATGCACCTTGAAAACATCATGTCAAGTGAAAGAACTCAGTCACAAAAGAGCAACAGATTCCATTTATATGCAATGTCCAAAAAAGGCAAATCTACAGACAGAAGATAGACTGGCCATTGCCTAGGTCTAGGTGCATTGGGAATAAATTGGGAGTGACTATTTATAGGTACGAGGTTTCTTTTTAGGTGATGAAAATGTTCTAAAATTGATTGTGGTGATGGTTTTACAGTTCTGCAAATATATTAATACTAAAAAACCACTGAACTGTCCATTTTAAATGGGTGAACTACATACTATATGAATTATATCTCAGTAAGGCTTTACAAATATACCACGTTAATTCTCATAAAAGATCACACATAATAATCGCACATGGTTTTACTGTCGGCCTTAAGAAGTAATCTGAAAGTTAAGTCAGCACAGCAAGTGTGTAAGTTTGGAGTGAGGAGGAACAGGACTTCAGCCACAGCTACACCAGTGCCAGCCGTGCATATGTGGGTGAGCTACCTACTTCAGTTGCCTGAGCCCCACTGCGCTCAGCACTAAATGAGGACATCACCCACCTTGCAGGGTGAGAAGTTATACCCAAAATCTGCATTACTGCTCAATATTACCACCATTTCTGAATATTATCCTATTAAAAAAATGTTATCCAGAGAAGTTTATATAAATATCCTTTCCTTAGATTCTACCCAGAGGAGTAAAATGTAGAATTCTAATTCAGTTTTTTAAATCGTGCACGTCCAGATCTATGTCTCATTCATCTTTGTATGCCCCCTGAACCACATGCCTAAGATGGTACTTCAGATTATCAAGGTGCTTTTTGAGTGCTCACTGAATTCAAGGTACTGTTTCACATTTGACATAATGTGAAGCTGAATTCAAATCCTCGTTATCAGAGTGCTGCACTTGGCCCTGTAGCATGCTTCTGTATTATTGATGTTACTGTTTATCTGAATCTTGTCAGTCTTTACCAGTAACCTAGAGTTACATTCAAAAATATATTTCTCAGAAAAATTTATTTGAATATATAAAAATCTATAACGGTGCTATGAAGTTTTAAGTACTTATAAGAAAACTTATTATTTTCAGCATTCAGAATATAGGGTAAGGCATATCTAGTTCTCTCGTTTTCAAACAAAACTTTAAGAATATATCAGTGATATTTTAGTCTGGCTTACTTTAATTAGTAACAACATATTTTTGAAAAGCTGAGGTGTCTTTAGCTATCTTCTGTACTTCTTTTTGAAGTGTGTAATTCATCCCCAAAGAAAGAGAGCTGATTTGAATGATTCCAAGTTGATTAACAACTTGTTATTAAACAAAAATTTTAAATTAACATATTGACTAGTCCCTTTTACTATTCAAAAGCAACAATGTAATATATTTCACCAGTCCAACCTTTATTTCAGCACTATAAAGAGTCCGCTTCCAAAACATGCAATGTGTACCAATCCTAAAGGTGCTAGTGGGGCACACCATCACCGTAAGAGGTTAGTGAAGATTCACAGCAAAGGAAACCGCAGGGGTCATCTTACCATGTCATCCGTCAGCGTCCTGATATTTAAATGCTGCAAATGAAAGAAACCAATCATATCAGTAATTTATAACAGCTTTTTAATTTTAGTTAGTAGAGTACATTTAAAATTCTACAATGTTAAGTTGAATATAATTAAGTTCCTGACAGTCTAATAAAAATGCATTATATACTGTTTTAATCACTTTCTCAAAAAGATGGACAAAAGTTACCTTGAATGTGATAGTCTCCTAAAATTTCTTGGGTTTGTAAACCTCACAAAATAGAAACCTCACTGTGGTACAATAAATATATTCTCCCAAATAACAGTATTAATTACCATTAAGTATACAGACTTAGATGGCAATAGATGTAGGAATTTAAATAAGATTTTCAGAAAATTTTTCAAATGATAAAAGTAAAACTTATAATCTGCCATTAGCATGCAGCATAATAGATAATGAAGTACTTTGCTGGCTTAATTAACTTAAACAATTCCAATAACAGAGAAGAGAGTACTGGCATAATGACTATTTGCATCTTTAACATCAGTTTGATTTATCACCAGTGGTGACAGCAGACACTTTTCAATTTCACTGCTACTTCTTTGAGAACCCTTTTGCTGATTTCCTTGCTAGACAAACACTAGGCCACTTTAGAAAGTGAGTAAATTGGTTTCCTGCAAAGTGGAGTGCAAGAGCAAAATGAAGCATCTGGAGGAAAAACAATCCCAAGTTTTTATAAATTCTGGAGTTGGGGAAGATTTTGTACTCAAGTAGCTGAAGTCAGTTTCCACTTCTCCTTCTTATTATTCTTTGTAGCATTTAACCTTTAAAATGGTACAGAAAGGGCCAAGCACATTTCCTAAACAGGAAATCAGGTCAGGTCTATGGTAAGTATAAAAGGACATATGTTAGCAGTCAACATCTAATTCTGGAGTAGGAAATGGCAACCCACTCCAGTATTCTCGCCTAGAAAATCCCATGGACAGAGAAACCTGGTCAGTTACAGTCCACTGCACTGCAGAAGTCAGACACGACTAAGCGACTAACACTTCATCATCTAATGGAATAAGTAGCACATAGGTAAATTCAACATTTATCGACAGAATGAAATTTATCATTCACATTTGTAGCACGAGAATTCACCACTATGCTCATGAATCTATTCTCAATGACAATTCAGACTGAAAATCTGTACAGCATCAATCACTACCCTGGAGTCCTCTCCCTTCCAGAGATGCTTTTTCTCATAAAGCAGGAGAAACGGGGACGGAAGGGGCCCAGCATGAGCTGAGTGTACGCCAGAGAGCACGCGGCCGAGCAGGTGAGCACGCCACTAGGCTCCAGGCTGAACTGCCGGGTCAGCAGACCACATCCTCTGGGCTAGGAGCAAACCAGCAAGAATACGGGATTAACGAAAGAGCAATGCTGAAGCCTGGGCTGTAGAATTTACAGTTAATCACTAGGAACTTCAGCACTGAATTAACAAGTACGTACAGGGGCCCGTGAGAGCGGGAGTGGCTCAGAGACCAGGACCAGAATTAAACCTAGGTCCACGTGGTCCTGAACTTGCAGAGAGAGGAGCAGCGGCAAGCCTGTGTGGGGCCCCCTCCTCTAGCTGCCAGCTGTCTGTGCGCCCTCCCGCCAGCACAGGCTCCCAGCCAACAGCACTTGGCTAACCACGCGCGTGTGACCAGTAGCTTCAGGCGTGTCCGACTCTGCAGTCCTGTGGACCACAGCCCGTCAGGCTCCTCTGTGCATGGACTCTCGGGCGAGAACGCTGCAGTGGGCTGCCACGCTCCCCTGCAGGGGACCTTCCTGAAGGAGGAATCCAGCCCATGGGCCGTACGTCTCGGGCATTGGCAGCAGGGTTCTTTACAACTAGCACCACCTGCGAAGTCCGTGGTTAAACATACCGCTCTCTTATTCTCCAACTAGAAGATTTAGCCCAATCGCAATTCACGTCACACCTGAAATTGGTCATTTCAAGTTCATCTGAGAAGAAAAAAGGAACAGAGCCAACTTCTGATACAACAGCATTCTAAGCGGCCTAAGGCTTGGAAAGGAAGGCTAATGAAAAAGCATCATGCTGAAGTCCTATCTGGGAGAGTATGTCTTAAGCAAGTGAAAAACTGTTACTGACACAAATAAATAATCCCAAAATGCCAGTTTGAGTTGTCTGAGGAAAATGCCATAAAGTGACGTTAAAGGAAAGGGAAAAAACAACAGAAGCACACAAACAATTTTAAGAGAAACGGGACTAGGACCTATGCAAGATTTATGAACTAAAAACTGCACAGAAGATAAAGTACAGAACATGTAGAGAATATAGGCTATACGATATAAAATTCAGAACATGTACATAAATAAGAGGAATATTTTTATCTACCTTCAAAGACCTAAAAATAGGACAGCCTTGTAAACTACAGTTGGACTCAGAACTTTCAGAAAAATAGTCACTCTTGAGTAGAAACAAGACACATAAAGATTCATTTTTTGGTAATAGTTTTTTTTAATGTCATTAAATTATTTCAGTAAGGGTCTAGCAACTCAATTAATTTGTTACATGCTTGGCCTGTCCTTCAAAAACTATACAAGCATGCATGTAAGTCCAATTACAAACTATATTATTACAATCTTTCACAAAAAAGAACATGTGATGTATTACATCAGAATTATAAGGCTTACACAGAAAAGTAAGATAAGTCAAAGCGTGGGAAGAGGAAGTTTAACAGCCTGAGAGACGATCAAGAAGCTCAGGTCAGGTTCATGATTCCGTCTCTCCTGGAACACACTGATCTATCCGTTCTCCCTCCAGCAGGAGAAGCCAGTAGGCAACGATGGCAGCAGGGTCCAGGGCCCATGACAGGACGAGAGATGCTGACTTAAAGAAAACACATCTGAAAGTGTTGGCTGCTACATCAAAACAGTAAAGACAGAATAAGCTCTACTTCAAGATTCAGCTTACAGAAAACAGAGATTATATAGCTATTTGTTCAGCCAACACACAATCTGAAAGAAACCACTAAAGACAAACTAGCTCTAAAAAATCTGAGTAGATAGAAAGGTGAGTAATTTCTCCTAAAAAGTTAATTGTCTAATCACAGTCCATTTCAAACATGATGAGGGGTGCGGGAGGAGAAATACTAAATATTTAGTGAAAATATGTACAGGTTAGATTTAGTGGCATCTTTTGTAGGATCTCTGAAAACCAATTATTAATTCAAGTTTATTATAAAGTTTAGGTTATGTCAAAGTCCTAGATGTTTAGATTACAGACTTCTAAACAAGTGGAGAGAGAAGGACAGAATGACATAAAAGCCTCAGATAACTGTGGAGTTCTGGCCTTGCTTCTGTAGATACAAGACTACAAGGGTGACATCCTTAATTAAAAAAAAAAAAGAACTTTATTATATTATTGCTCTTATACTAGTGCGTAAAATACTGTTTAAATGTCTGGTTAACCAAGACACTTAAAGAAATGAAGAAGTATTTGTTTCACAGCTACCAGTATGCCCCTGACTACATCCTCTCATGGCGAAAACAGGAACGGCCCCATCAATCCAGTTTATGAGCAGAATTTGCTGACATCCACACCAGAAAGGAAACAAGAACATAAAACCACTAGTAAATGAAATCGAATAGGAACACTTTTAAAAATAACAACCTGACAGCAACATTAGGGTTGAATCTGTGGGAGTGGGGGTATAAAGTTAAAAGCACAGAATGTTAGACCTATTAAAGCATTTACACCTAGATGTGGCTTTATGACCTTTAGTTCCATTATCTGGCCTATGATTCTACAGGTGTCAATGCTTTATAACCATGGGATAAAAACGAAAGTGGTGATAATATCAAAATACAAGTAACTCTGAAACCAGGACCACTGGTAACTGGTTAAGGTGTGGTACTTGCACCCTGGGAGTCTCTTCCTCAGCCAAACCTCATCCACCTTCCTGCGGTCTGATGTATCTCAAATTCCTAATTCTATTTCTCCCTAAAAAGCAAGCAGCTCTGCATATAGACAGGCCTTCTACTAACAACAGCTCCTAGCATGAATGGTCAACAGGATCACTCTGAAATTGAAAGAGAGAACAAGTCTTTAAATATTTTTCTTCAAAAGAACATAAGAATCAAAAAGCTGGGGTGGGGGACACAGAAACACAGAACACAGACTTCTATATTCCCATTTAAGCAAGGCATCAAAACCTTTATTGAAGACAGCACATGCTGTCAAAAACCAGACCTAGAGTTTTCAGAGTACTGTGCAAAACGCTGTCAATATCAAGAGGTATGAAGAACAGTCCTTCTCCTACCAACTTAGTTAACAAGTAACAAAGACCAAATAAATTATGTAATACAAAGCAACACACAAAACTCTGAGGTTCACATGCAATGAGAAAAATATTCCAAACTGTAGCCCAAGGCTCTTAGCAAATTTTACATTTTCTTTCATTGGTTGGCACTTGTGGGTTAGCAGGGAGCAAGGGATCTGTCTACTGATGTCCTCAGACACATGAGGGCCCACCAGGCATCAAGCTAGCAGGCTCAGATCACTGTCAGCAGAGTCAGATCGTGGAAATATTTTAGAACAATTGCAACAAGCTGTTGCAATTAGTTCTATTAAGCTTATACCACTTAACTGGCTCATTATGAGAAATTACCAACAAGGGGGAAACTGTAAAACTGTAAAACTTGTGAGTCTTCAAACACAAGTGACTCAGACCCAACTCGGATAAACTTGACCCTCCAGACCAGCTGGTTTCCAGCTTGTAGGTGTGTGCAAGAAACACACCAAGACCTGCTTTGTAAAAGCAGGTGACAGGCCTCAGCTGCTGACGGTCCTGCTACAGCAGGTCTAGGGTGGGGCCTGGGAACCTGCACACTTTGGGGCCCAAGAGAACACTGCTGCAGTGAACCCAGGACCCCATCCCACCACCATCAACATTAAACATCCCCGGGGCGGCATGCAGACCAACACCCTATCCCACGGGCCTTAAAACCCATGTCCCTGAAACAAAAGAACAGAAGGGTGCAGAGAAGAAGCACAGACGACTTCAGAGAAGTGAGAGACAGGGAGTCGGTAGTTGGGGACAGTCCCTGAAGGCACCCATTAGCACTGATTTAAGAGAATTCAACAATCTCTGGGTACAGGATGAATTGCCAATTGCATCGTTTATTCAAATGCTTAATCTCTTTCTAAGGTAAGATAATTCAGTCTCATAAGCATATATTTAGTACCTAACTATCAAGGATTGTTCATTATATCAAACCACAACATGACACTATTTACTTGATAAAATGGGTGACAGGTTCTGACCAACACAACAAAGTTACACCTTGAGAGCAAAGGGCCAGGCTCAACCTGCTCCAATTTTTTTTAATCACAATCTGCTCCAATTTTTTTTAAAGTCCACATTATTTCCTTCCACTGAAGCAGTAATGAATATGTATTTTAACCTAGTAACATTTCTGGTCCACACAACTGTCTTTATTTTAATATCAATGCTAATTATAAAGAGTATAGAAGTGGTAAATGCTACCACTAGCAACCATAACACTAGACACACCTGTGGATAAATCTAAGGGTCATCTCCCAGGAACCACACGATACACCTAGAAAATATCGTTCTTCAAGGGCTCCAATATCTCAGAAGGGTTCAAAAATAACACTGAAGCTTCGCTAGCCCTGAGGACAAGAGCAGAGCTGGCTCTTTGATACTACAAAGTAAAGCTTTTTTCACTCGCCTCACTGTTCATGTGGTCATTTTTGTAGTTCGAGGTAGAAGAAAGTGAGTGAGGCGACATTAAAACAGGTGGGAAGCAGAAAAAGCTCACCAGCACCTTCATCTGTTCCTTTACTCAAAACCGTAACCCTGCCTATTTCAAGATGACAAACACCTGTCTACTGTCCATTATCTATGGCTTCAGCACTCTCACCCTCTAGGAAGGCAGACCTGCCTTCTCCATAGCTCCTTCTTTGTAAAAGACCAGCTTTCAGGAGGAGGCATCATTCAACCATTTACACATGTGAAAAGAAAAGATTCATTTCTAAGAGGGCACAAGGTTTTCAAAAGGATCAAAAGTCTGCCACGTAACTGCGAGAAAACAACTACCTCTCCAGAAAAAGCAATTCTCAAATTGCTGCTTGGTACTCTCATCTGGATTACACATCACAGGGGCTGAACACCTTACAAGTCATGCTTTATTCTAGCAGAATTCTAGTGTTCCTCTTCCTTCAAAGGGAAAACCTAATGACTAATCCTAGGAACACAGGTTTCATATCTATTTTAAGATATTCTCTTCAGCTGTTCCAACTTCTTTCACCTAAACTACCCGATCAGAAACTTCCCTAATGGGTCCAAGAAAAGACAATTCAAACCCCTGAACCCCTTTACAAGTAGGTCTTGTTCCAGGTCATGAGAACCAAAAACCTTTTTCATCACCTGAAGAAGGCTGAAAAGTAAGGTATTGGCTGTAGGATGATTTTAAACGGTCCCAGAGATTCCAGGATCAACCTGAAGCTTATCCAACTACTAGGTTATTTCTGAGACTGCTTCATCTCTTAGATGTCACGCACAAGACACAAAGTTAGACTGGATATTCCTGAGGCTCATATGGTACCAAGCATCAGTGCATCTATTATTTGAGAAGGATTTTGTTTACATTCTAGCATCACCATAAAGAAAATAAATTTGGTTAAACCTTAGAGAACAATTTTGATTAAATAAATCCAATGTTCAAACTAAGAACTCTACCAGTAATTATTCTTTAACCTAGTAATTCTATTTCTAGAATCTATACAGAGAAAATAAGAAATACAATCACGTATTCTTATATACAAACATATATATACCACTACAGTGTTATTTTAGATAACCAGAATTGCAATCAACCTAAAACTCAGAAGATGGGAAAGAGTAAATAGATTACAGTTCTGCCATAGGGAAAATGCTTATAATATAATGTTACATGAAACAAAGTTGAAGTAAAATTGCATTTGCAATATAATTCTAACTTTGTTAATATACTTATGGGAAAAAATCAGACAGGAACCATTGTTAATTTTATCTATCTGAACTGTGGGATTTGGAACTTTTATTTTTACATTTTTTCTGTATTTCCTCAGTTGTCTAGAATGAGCATATTTATTTTATAGTGAGAAAAGTTTTTTAATTACTATGGATAATACTTTTCACACCAGGCAGAAAATATAGATTAGTTCCTTTTTAAATAAAAATGTTATGTATGAGACAGTAAAAGTAAGAATAAAAATCTAATAAATACTGTGAACAGCCTTTTTAATAGGCTGTTTCTTGATGCATATTTTCAAATATGTCAGAATATATTAAGCACATTATTCATTTGTTTTCTAATCCACATATATAAATTAACCTATCTCAAAAGGCTCCTTGGTTTTGTGAATTATTGATGCTGTCACCTGCTAGAGACTTAATTTCAAGAAAAATATACAAATCACTACATCACAAGCACAAATCCTTTTGACATAAATTCAATTTCTGTGGCAACAATAATATATTGACTTAGCTTTATTTTTCTACTTTATGACACTTATTAATGTCAGAAATAAAAGAAATCTATCATTGTTCCTTATTGTAAATGTAAATTATCCCATGCCATCTTGAGAAAGCTAAGATAAATACCACTCACTTGATAACCCCTTAATGCAAACGAAGACAAGATAACAAAGTATAAGAAATAAGAAAAAAAAGAAATAAGACACGATTTTTCAATCTAGTCCCGTAATCCTTTTTTTTTTGCTACTACACAATACAATTAGACTCCCAACATGTGCAAGACACCACAGTAAATATAAAGAGGACCCAGTCCCTGCCCTTAGGAGTTTACAACCAAAGGATCAGCATGACAAGTGACTGAATAACCAAATGCAAGACAGTGGGACAAGCACCATAAAAGAAGTGTTTAATGCTGACAGGGAGAAAAGGCAGAATCTCTATTATATGCTAATTATATTCGCTAATTATATACTAATTACATTTGCATAAATACTTGCTAATTAACACACAAATATTTAATAATGATCTAAAACTAAAGCAGAAATAAGTTTTAACCATGATTTAGGGAAAACTGGTAGGGCACAATTTACCCTCACAGAATGAGGGATTCCTAAAACATTAATTCATTCAACAAATATTTATTAAATATTACTATGTTACTGGCAAGGGATCCATCAGTAAAACAAAAATTTCTGTCCTAGAGAAGCTCACCTTCCACTGGGGAAACAGACAACAAACACGGTAAGTTACAGAAGATGTTAGAAGGTGATGAGATCTCTGCTAAAAATGAAAAGTTCTTCAAAGGAAGGCAGGCCCGGAAAGCAGAGTGGGAGGGCTTGCAGGATGCAGTTTTAAAAGGAGGAACTGGGGTGAGCATAAGACTGACTGAGAAGGCAGCATCTGAGCAGACTGGAAGTGGACTAAGGAGGTAGCTACATGGACAAGCGGGGAAAGTACTTCAGATAAAAGAGCAGCCGGAACAAAGGCGATTAGGAGACAGCCAGCATGGCTGCAGTGACAGGAATTGAATCGGAGAAGAGGAAGAGGGGCAGATCTGAACCAGGCCATCTAGAGGATGAGGGCCTTTATTCTCCTAACGCAACAGTCACAAATGCTTAAGCATAACAACATGCTCAAAGTATCATCATAAACACTAAGTGACAGTTGACTCCACTTTATCAGCAACGCTGCTTTTGCTGTTCAGTCCCTCAGGTGTGTCCAGCTATTTGTGACCCCATGGACTGCAGCAGGCCAGGCTTCCCTGTCCTTCACCACCTCCTGGAGCTAGCTCAGACTCATGTCAATTGAGTCAATGAAGGCATCCAACCATCTCATCTTCTGTTGCCCCCTTCTCCTCCTTTCCCATGAATCAGCTCTTCACATCAGGTGGCCAAGGAGTGGACCTGCAACTTCAGCATCAGTCCTTCCAATGAATACCCAGGACTGATCTCCTTTAGGATGGACTGGTTGGATCTCCTTGCAGTCCAAGGGACTCTCAGGAGTCTTCTCCAAGACCACAGTTCAAAAGCATCAATTCTTTGGCGCTCATCTTTCTTTATAGTCCAACTCTCACATCCATACATGACAACTGGAAAAACCATAGCTCTGACTAGATAGACGTCTGTTGGCAAAGGGATGTCTCTGCTTTTTAACATGCTGTCTAGGTTGGTCATAGCTTTTCTGCCAAGAAGCAAGTGCCTTTTAATTTCATGAGTGCAGTCACCATCTGCAGTGATTTTGGAGCCGAAAAAATAAAGTCCGTCACTGTTTCCACTGTTTCCCCATCTATTTGCCATGAAGTGATGGGACCAGATACCATGATCTTCGTTTTCTGAATGATGAGTTTTAAGCCAGCTTTTTCACCCTCCTCTTTCACCTTCATCAAGAGGCTCTTTAGTTCCTCTTCACTTTCTGCCATAAGTGTGATGTCATCTGCATATCTGAGGTTATTGATATTTCTCCCAGGAACCTTGATTCCAGCTTGTGCTTCATCTAGCCTGGCATTTCGCATGATGTACTCTGCATATAAGTTAAATAAGCACAGTGACAATATACAGCCTGGACGTGCTCCTTTCCCAATTTGGAACCAGTCCACTGTTCCATGTCTGGTTCTAACTGTTGCTGCTTGACCTGCATACAGGTTCTCAGGTTTTGCTGAGTGTTAATGGTATTGAACCACCCTCCTCTCAGCTGCTGGGGTCTCTCACATGCTGTCATTTTTCTCTGGGGCTGAGAATTCCAGTCAGCAGCAGTTTCTCAACACCATCCCTAAAGCCAGCGTGCTGCCTGGGCCTCAGGACGTTGGCAGCTTCAGGGGAGACTGAGATGTGAGGGAGGCAAACAGACTGAGTAGGTAACACACAGACCCACGTACAGCACAGGTGGGTGAGCCTCGGTATCATCAAGAAGTGGCGACTCCACCTGTCGTCCATGGCGCTTCTGTTTACAGTCACTGTCTGGCAGAGCATGTGTGTATCTTTTTCTCTTTTTTTAAACCTGTCAGGAACCTTGTTTCCCTTACCTTTGAACTAGACATACCACAGTGCGGGGAACATATTAAGCCAGTGGTTTAGAGCTTCTGTTTTCTGTTCCTAATACAAATGCCTGAGCAATACCCCAAAGCAACTGAATCAGAATACCCAAAGATCGGGCCTGTCCTAAGTACCCGAGCTCCTCCCGGTGCCTCGAGCACATAGCCACTGCTAGAAACCACTCAACCGGGCACACTGTTGCGGACTCTGCCTTTCGGCACCGAGCATCAAGGGGTCTCCAAAGTCCCACAGGGGCAGCTAGAGCAGACGCATGCTGGCTTACGTGTCTCAAGCACATGTGCCTTCTCTTCCTGTTCTCTGTAAGCCGGCCCTGCCACAGCTGAGGAGGCAGAGCTCAAGCGAAGCCAGTCACATCCTCACTCTCCCAGCAATCCGGACCTGGGATTCAGGTATGAGAATCCGGACCGGGAGCATCACACATACCTAGGACTGTGAGGCTCTGGGATGGGCTGCGTGAGAGGCAGAGCAGCAGGATAACACACCGCAGACACACCGCAGTGGAGCAGATGCCTCTAAGGAGGCGACCGGAGACCGCGTGATCCCAGCCAAGCGGAGCTGCCAGCTTCCAGTTCTCAGCTCCAGGCCAAGAGTGGAACAGCTAAACTTACTGTTCTTGACCCCAGGAGACAGCCCCAGGCCTCTTTACAATTGCTCTTTCTAACCTTAAACTAGATCGTGACTGTGCCTTTAAGCCCAAAAAAGGCCTTGACTGAGACAGAAACCAAGACTGCAAAATGCAGGCTTAGGTATCCACCTCACATCACCATTCCTAGCAACACTTAGTGAGCCTTACTGTAACTGCTGACACACCCAACGATCTGACAAATTAGCCCTTGTCCCACCTTGGTTTAGTCACTAAGTCGTGTCTGACTCGTGTGACCCCATGGACTATAGCCCGCCAGGCTCCTCCATGGGATTTCCGAGGCAAGAATACTAGAGTGGGTTGCCATTTCCTACCCCACAGGATCTTCCCTATCAAGGGATCGAAACTGTGTCTCCCACATTGCAGGCAGATTCTTTCACCACTGAGCCACCAGCGAAGCCCCATCTCACTGATCAGAAAACTGACTGTCACACAAGTGATCTACCAGAGTGGGCAGTCTGAGAACAGAGTCTTGGTCAATGAGACCCAAACCCAGGCTCAGACCCCTCCCTTTCCCTTCCCTCCGTCTTCGCCGTCCCAAACCTAGGCAGGAAGACCCACAGCAGAAATAAAGCAGTTTCTGAATTGTTTATGAAGCAAAGAAACTGAAAATAAAATCTGAGCAAGAAAGACCAGTGTAATTCCAGCTGGGCAGTTAGTAAGTGTTCTAATACTGACAACACAGTGCTACCTTGAGACTCGAGGGGAGTGAGTATAAGAAGCTGCGAGGACTGTAATTTCTGAAAATTAACGCAAAAATAGATGTTTTGCTAGGGAGTTTCCCTTTTATCTTCTAAAGTTGCTTAAGTGTAAAATAGAAATGCAATGAATATTTTTTGTTATTCATAGAATTTACAGTTTAGTACATGCCTTATATACCATGTGCTTCCAAATAAGACTAAACATAAGCCACAAAAACATTCACATTTCACAATATCATTAAAATACATACACAAGTCTAATTAAAGAAAATTTCTTTTAAATTATTGATAAGTTTGAACTGTTTTAAATAACACTTTGAATCACCACTAAGTTTTCTTGCATAATTTGATTACTACTTTTTATTACTACTTCTAAATTGGTTTGTTACTTAAAATGAGTCAAAAAGATTATTGCATATTTACAAATTTGATGTCTGAAGAAGGGAGAAAAAAGAGCGCAATTCCAGCTCTTACATACAGTCCCAGTACTATACATAAAATGTGGTTACACTTGATACTTCTTTTAGAAATACTAACCAAGCAAGATATCATTATTGAGCATCTAAGTTAGCAAGGAGCTTCCCAGGTAGCACTAGTGGTAAAGAACCTGCCTGCCAATGCTGGAGATGTCAGAGACGCAGGTTCAGAAGATCTCCTGAAGGAGGAAGTGGCAGCCCCTCCAGTAATCTTGCCTGGAGAATCCCGTGGACAGAGGAGCTGTCCACAGTGTCAAAGAGTCCGACACGACTGAAGTGATTGAGCATGCATGCTAGCTAGCAAGACATCATGTCTGGTCTGGTATATAAATACCTATAAAACATAGCATCTGCCCTCAAAGGAGTTTACAATTCAATAGCTTTCAGAGGAAAAAATACATAACCTAGGTCACTTATTGCCCTTTTTAGCTATTCAAAAAATAATATAAGTAACTATCTTTCCAGTGCTACACGTGCTGAAACACATGGATTCCTCACCTTAATATTCTTCATTGCACTTCTTATCCAAAGAAATTTGAGATATTTGGAGAGAGAAATGCATGAATGAGATTAGATACAGAGCAGTCCAATACTGTATCAAACTTACACCGTGTTACATAATGATACAGCCACATTCCAACACATAACATTCTATGTCACAATTTGGGTTTTGAACACACTAATTTCTATAGTCAAGCTGTAAGATCAAGCAACTGCAGCCTAAACTGCCTTTGGCAATCCTCCAACAAAGCCAGGGAGACTTTAGTGATGACTCTCTAGTAACAACCCAAGTATGTTTGTAAAGGACTTCTGGACGCACATAGTTTTATACTGATTACCGCACCATTCAAGCACATTAATAAGTCAGCAAGGGTTACGGGGGAGTCAGCAGCTGACAGCCACAGGCGCAGGAGTCTCCAGTGATCATAACCTAGAGCGGATGACTGACTACTGTCGCTCCTGTGAGGATACGAAGATAAACCTACTGTACCTGCTTTTTATATTATGGAGATATAATTTACATATAATATTGTGTAACTTTAAGGTATACAACACATTGACTGATACATTTATATTTTGCAATATGATTGCCACAGTAGCTTTAGCTAACACTTTTATCACATCACATAATTATCATCTTTTTAATGCTGAGAACATTAAGATCTAATCTCTGAGCAACTCTGAAGTTTATGATACACCATTGTCAACTATAACCACTATGCTCTACGGTAGACTTCCAGAACTTATCTTCTAATTATAAGTTTATACCCTTTAACTCATCTCTCCAAAGTTGACCTCCTTTATCCTTTAACACATTCCCCTACCCTGCTTTTTCAGATTCTACATATAGGTAATATCATACAGTATTTGTCTTTCTCCCTTAGGCTTTTCTCACTTAGCATAATGCCCTCAAGGTCCAACCTCGCTGTCAAAACATGTCTTTCTCCCGGATGGATTTAATCCCACCTTCTATACTCAGTATGTGCCGAACCTGCTTTGTCCTTTCACCTGTGGATAGGCACTGAAGTTGCTTTCTATCTTGGCTACTGTGAGTAACGCTGCAATAAACATGTGACTCCAGATAGCTTTTTTTGGCTGCACCGGGTTTGTTGCTCCAAGCAGGTTTTTCACTAACTGTGACAAGTGGGGGCTACTCTCTAGCTGCAGTGCATGGATTTCTCACTGCAATGGGCTTCTCTTGAGGAGCATGGGTTCTAGGCACACAGGCTTTATTTAGCTGTAGTTTGCAAGCTCGAGAGCAAGGGCGCAGGAGTTGTGGACCTGGGCTCAGCTGTTCCGTGGCAAGTAGAACCTTCCCAGGTCAGGGATTGAATCCATGTCCCCTGCATTGGCAAGCAGATTCCTGGCCAGTCTAGACCACCAGGAAAGCATCACAGATACCTTTTCGAGGTTCAGTTTTCATTTATTTTAGGCATATACCCACAGCTGGGATTAATGAGTCATATAACAGTTCTATTTTTAATTTCTGAAAAACCTCCATACTGTTTTCCTTAGAGGCTGAACCAGCTTACAGTCCCTGCAACAGTGCACAAGGGTTCCCTTTCCTCCAAAACTCGCGCTCTTTTCTTGATGACAGCCATTCTAACAGATGTGACCCCAAGCCTGTGTCTGTTATCACTGATGGCGTTTCACTCACAAACCCATTGCTGAGGGTAGCTTCAGAGGCTGTGAAAGTTTATCATCTTTGCCTGAACAAGATGTGCAAGTTATCCAGGAGGAACAAACCGTCACATCACTGGAAGGCAGTCTGACCTACAAATAAAGACTCTGAGACCACAGGCAGTCCCTTTAAACATGAATGTGGGTCAAAGTATGGCATTAGCCATTAGTCACATATGGCTATTTCAAAAGTTAATTCCAACTAAGTCAAATTAAAAATCAGCCCTCTAACAGCATTAGCCACAAGTGACTAGTGGATATCAAACCAGACACAGCAGAGCAGAAAGCTCCATCATCGCTGAAAGCCGTAATGAACAGCACTGACACAGGCAGACGCCTGTATCACCAGAGCCAGTGAAATGAAGGAATCCATGCTGGAGGGAAATTTCAAGTTCAAAAAAGTAAAAGATCAAAGTGAGAGTACTTGGAACACCAAGAGGGTAGGAAGATGATAAGCAAAGATTAGAAGAGAAGAACAAGTTAGAGCAAAGATTTGAAGAAATGATGGGTCAGTGCTCATACTCTGAACTCCAGTAAGATGAAGCTCCAACACTTTGGCCACCTGATGCGAGGAACTGACTCATTTGGAAAGACCCTGATGCTGGGAAAGATTGAAGGCAGGAGAAGGGGAAGACAGAGGATGAGATGGTTGGATGGCATCACTGACTCAATGGACATGAGTTTGGATAAACTCCAGGAGATGGTGATGGACAGGGAGGCCTGGTGTGCTGCAGTCCGTGGGGTCGCAAAGGGTCGGACATGACTGAGCAACGGAACTGAACTGAACTGAAGATGAAGACCAGCCACTGGGTTGGCAGTAGTTGACCTGTCAAACTTTAGTGGAAAGACAGAAGCAGAAGTTGAGAAGCCTGTGGGAGGTGTCTGAGTCCCCCCTTTACGAGCACTCTCTACCCTTGGCTAATGCCATCATGACAGGAGCAATGAGCTGAGAGGTGTTTAGTGCTTACATGCTAACCCCCAAT